AACCAGCAAACCAACCAACTAACTCAACTTCTAGCACAACTATTACGTCCATCCAATACAGCTAGTTATTCATCAGCAAAATTTACTGTTGAAAAATGATTTTTTCACCCGACTTGCACATCTTTTTTGGGGTATTTAAATAACAAAATCAAAACAACGTGTAAATAAAGATTTTCGTGAACGCTTTCTATTTTTTAAACAATGTTTTTAATATTTTACATTTTTTTCTTTCTGTTTCCATTCGCCAAACCAGCTTCTTCAAAAACATTCTTTTGTTTCTTTGCATATTTATTCTTCTTTTAATTTTTCTTTTTGAGATATTTATCAAGCCAGGTTTTTTTCTTGTTCTTATCTTGCTAATGTTTATGTTTCTTTTTATCGTTTTGTGTTTATTTGTCAACATTTTCGCTGTTTCCAGTATTGTATTCCAATAATTCAATAACTTTGTAAAAATGTTCTTTTCTCTTTTGAAGTTATATATTTTCTACGACCCATCGTAATCTTTATATATATAAAACTGTAAAATAAACATCAATACAGTAGCCCCCGAGTTACGACAGTCCCGACGTACTACGATTTGTAGTTACAACGCAAACTCCATTAATCTTGTTTCGATTTATGCCCTTTGCTTCGTACATAAGGCGGCGTTACTCATTTCCTTATTGTGCGCCATACTGGATTCACTTGGGAAAACTTATTGCCTATTATTATGGCTCCCAAATGTAGTGTAGCGTCTCCCGATGGCGGTCCTTCAGATAAAAGGTAAGCCATCACAATGGTAGTGAAATTAGACATTGTTGAACGTTATTTAATTCTGTTAGGCCTATACCAATCATATAGGTCGACTCCCAAACATACAGTAGGCTACAAGTGGCCCAAAACTTAGGCCTACCGGTAAATGAAGTTAGTAGAAGTATGCGGTAACCTTTGCTAAAAATACATAAGCTCATGCCATTTACCTGCATATTGAAACACTAACCGTAGTTTATTTTTATATGTGTTGTATAGCAAACAACCGACAGCACACACTGGTAGGTACCGTATATTGCATTGGTATAACTTAGCGAACATTTAAATCTCGTCAGGTCTACTGATAAACATATTTCAACATCAACTCCTATAAAATATTAATACCGTAGATTACACATCATATCAGGCAGTTATTTCATAGGACTGCTACGTGTCGTGTGTTATTGTAAAACACAGAATCACTCATCCGCCATTTGCATTAGTGTAAAGAAACAACCAGTGACGTCACCATTTAGTGCATCAGCTTTTGAACGTGATGTGTGCTGTAGTGTATAGTAATACTGAATTTGTGTTACTATTTTATTATTTTATATTAATTTATGTGTTAATAGGTCAAATATGTTCACCAAACACAAGTTTTAGTGTGATATATTTGTCGCAGCTTGCTGAAGGTATGGTAAGAGGTGTAAAATAATTTTTAGTTCTGATCCACTTGTTTACTACTCGGTGGTAAAGATTTACGTTTTATAGCCGCCACATAAGTCGACCCCTAGTTTTGGAAATATGTTTTTAGGCTTGAAAACTCGTCTTGTACGCGGCAATTTAATCCTTACTTAATATATGTTTAGACAAGGGCTTTTTATTTAGATTTTAATAGGCTTTTCTTGTATACGAACAAGTTTTTGCTTTTCTGGATATTGAGTGTAGAAACTGTTTAGCTGTTCGTTGATTACGAGGGATTTCGGCTAATCTTAGTTATACTATGATAAAAAAAAAGTTGCTGTGAAGGATTCTTAAGTTCCAAATTTGGCATTTAAGGACATATCTACTTTTCAGAAACTTTTAAACTGTCTACAAATGTACTTATGCACAATTTATTATAATGCAACAACTAAAATCCTTGAAAATAACTATAAGATTAGCCTAAAGCGCTTGAAATAGACAAACATTTGGACAATTTCTACACTTACTAAGTCCAGAAAAAACCAAAAAAAACCAAAAAAAAACTTGTTCGCATGCAAGAAAAAATATGTTAAAAAAAAACTAAACAAAAGTACCTTGTCAGTCAGCATGTTTAACAAGATATGTATTAAATAGGGATTGCTACCCGAATACACGTCTATACCAATATCCAGAGTGCGACAGAAATACCTTCCTCATATACCTCCCAAAAATACTTCCAACTTAATGGTAAGACATTATGTAGATAAAGACATCATTGCCACTATATATACACCATTGGCGTGTATATATATTTATTTACAATATGGTGAAAATCCCTCGTGTTACGTAATAAAATCTCACAGCATCAAATATGTTATCGTAAATAGTTCTGGGATCTTTTCTGGAAATTCACCCCAAATGATATAAAATTAATTATCGCAAATATTAATTCAACCCAAGAAATTATAAATTTTAAATCAAATTTGTTTTTTTTTATTTTTTTTTATTAAATTGTCGGCACTCTATTCGAGGTACTTACAAGCATTTTTTTCAGAATTAAAAAAAAAAATTGTTTTACTACGGAGACACCACACTTAGAAATAGCGTACCAGAGTCGCCCACATATGGAGCGATCGCAAATTTCAACCCAACCGTAGTGCAATGGAAGGGATTTGCCTTGGAAGAATTTAGTGCGAATTTTAGTAAATATAAATTCTTTTTTATTTTGAGGGGAATTAATAATTTTTGGTGAATTAACAGAAAAAAAATCCCCGTTTTTATAAAGACTGATTTTATAAGCTGAAATTCCAATTGTTATATTTATCATATAAGTAAAAAGTATATCCTGAAAAGTTTAATACGTGTATTAATAAACTATTTGTCTGTTTACATATACGTTCATTGTTTGTGTGATTTTCTCTAGGGCTTTTCATTAAAAAAATGATTATTTATACGAGGTTAAATCATGGAGAAAAAAGCAATTTCCATATAACACCTTTATTTCTGCTGATAAAGAATAAATGCATATGT